AAACGGCAGAAGGTGAAGGAAAAGGACTTTCTCATTGCGCGCCAGCCTCGGCTGTTCACAGAGTCCGAGTCAGGTACTGTCACCCTGGTCCAGGTTTAGTTTGCCTTTCCATAGAGATGGAGAGTGGGCCTCACAAGTCATTAGTACTTTCTTTGCTTTTTTTTTTTTTTGCTTTTTCCCAGCAGAATATCGCTTTTAGATCTTCTGTTTTTCAGGCTAAGTCCTGTTTTATGTAAGCCTTTAAACGAAAGTGGTGCGTCTGGCTCCAGAACCGTGGTCCACATAAGCCATGGTTGGCTCCTGCCTAGCCCTGCCAGCCCCGGTCTGTATACCAGGGGTTTGTGCTGCGTGTCCCTGTGTCTGTCTGCTCTTGCTGCGTGGGACTTGGCTGGCACCTTGGCACAAGCAGGGCCCTGAGCTGTGTCTGTTGCTCTGCCCAAGAGACCTGTTCCCAGAGATGTTTTGCCACATACCAAGCGGGGCCAGGCTTCTCACAAAATACAGCTGTGGCTGCCAGATGAATATGGACTATTGGTGCTGCTGTCCCTGATATAATTTTGAAACCTGGGGGGACTTGTGGTGTGTGTGTTTTTTTTTTTTTTTTTACTTGGGCATCTAAGTAGTAAGATATTTGGTCCTCGAGACCAAAGGGATCCAGTTCCATATCTCTTACAGTGCAGGGTGAGGTATGCCAGAGGGGCAGCATCCCTGCTGCTGTTGGAGCTGAGCTGTGAGCAATGCAAGGGACCCTGCCGGAGAGCTACAGGGAAGGTGCAGCAAAGGACATAAGGCACCTGGGCAAAGAGCAGGGCTGTACCCTGAGGAGCTGCAGCACTGAAGAAGGAGTTATAGCATGCTGGCTTCCTTTCCTTGGTATCAAAATATGTTTTCAGTCTGCAGTGAGTATGGAATGCAAAATAAAGAAACAGCTCTCTCCAGACACTAGGCTGTCATATGAAAGGTGGGAATACCCTCAGACAATCCTGCTTTTAAATAAGATGGAGTGCTGGGTCATAGGCAGCTGTTCTTGAGCACCATCACCCAGGAATCTCCCTTGTGAATGGCAACAGCTTCTGGAGTCCTGTATGTACTTGTGAGAAGTTGAGATTGCATCACATCCTTTCACATAATTCTTGGGGGGGTGGTAGTGAGCATCCATGTTTTAAGGAGCAGCTTGCAGCACCTGCTTTTCTCTGTGTACCGTGCAAAAGTATAGCTCACCTTGGGCTCCCTTCGGGGAGCCTGACATATAGGAAGGGTGGGCATGTCAGCTGGGGATGGGGGTGGAGGAGGGGAAGAGAACCATACAAGCCTTAAAATACAAAGGAAGTAACTGAGATGCTCTTGTTTCCAAAATGAGTATGTGAATAAAGGCAACTGTCGTTTTTTTTCAGGGAATTGTTTTTCCACAGCTTAATATGTATACTAAGTTGATGTTACGGAAAGCTTTGCCTTTGCCAGTCATACCTAGGCAAAGATGGTAATAGTATCTTCCTCCAGTGAAGAGCTGAGAGGGGTGTGAGTAGTGGGCTGATGTCTGTATAGCCTAGAGAGAGACTGTAGAGGTGCTTGTAACAACAAAGCCAAACAAGGCATCTGATCAGCAGGCAAAAATGAAACGGCTTTAACCAGAACACATTTGTTCTCTTCCTAAAGGTACTTCTTGGGGTGCACTTCCAGATGAACTGCTTCTGGCAATCTTTTCATATTTGCCCCTACATGACTTGCTAAAAACTTCCCTGGTTTGTAAGAGATGGCATTGTCTTTCGTAAGTATTACTTCTCATCATTTAGTACTAATTTTCTTAACCTTTGCTTCCATAGACTGTTAAGTGACCTGGTTTTTATCTTGTTTATTCATGTACAATTCAATTTATGCTGTATGTGGGTTATACATATGTATGTACAATCAAAAGTTGGCTCACATATTTTAACATTAGTAAATTCTATTAAATAGCTTTCACTCCTCTCAGTCTTTTGTGTCTCTGAAAACTTTCTGTGGTTGTACTCATAGTCCTGACCCTTTCTAACTCACTAACTAGTAAAATTCTGTGCCTTAGGTTTGATGACTCTCTCTGGCAGTCTCTTGATCTGACCGGTAGAAATCTGCTGCCAGGAGTAATTGGACAGTTGCTGCCTGCAGGTGTTACTATATTCCGCTGCCCAAGATCTTGTATTGGGAACCCGTTGTTTAAAACAAGCAAGTAAGGCTTTTTCTGCATATTCTGGATCCTGAGACCATGTCTCAAATACTCAGTTTCTCTGTGTATTTTTGGTTTTAAGGTCTTCACCAGCAGTAGCGTTTGTGCTGTCTCTGGAGTGTGGAAGAGCTGATCAATGGTTAGGCATGTGTTGAAATAAGAGCATCTGCATTCACCTGTCAGTTATTTAAAACTAAGTTAATGTGACTTTTTTTGAAAGTATCAAGCACTATCATCCACTTGCAATTTATATCTTGTAGAACCAAGAATTGTCAGCATCTCCAGCATTTTTTATATGGGAAGCTCAAAAAAATTACTTAACTCCAGTGGAATAGACTTTCAGGTGTTATGACAATTCCTGTAAATGCCTTGAAGATAAGAGTTCTGCAATTTTGGCTGGTAGCTTAGCAGTAGGCCCAGTGAGCTTAGCAGTATGTCCAGCATGCAGCTAAATACTTAAAATAATTATTTTTGGCAAGCTTTGCACAGTTTAGTGTATGGGGTATATTTATGGTATGGGGAATTTGTGGAGCAGGTTTTAATGCAATTTTAGTAATCTGCCTTTCTCCTTTTTTAGACCTCTCAGAGTTCAATATATGGATTTGTCAAACTGCACAGTGTCTGTTGCAGACCTCCAGAGTATTCTTTGCCTGTGTGACAAGCTGCAGAACCTCAGCTTGGAGGGACTAGTGCTTTCTGACGACATCATGGAGTGAGTGACATGTTTAGGAATATTAAGTAAACATTAAGTAAATAGCCTTCTGGCGCTATCATTTTGTGCAGGCTAGCAGAAGAATGCAGTTGAGAATTAGTTGTTTGTGGGAGTCTTTTGAAATGGCCGGTTTTAGGCTGCCTCTTTCCTCTCTATCCTCCAAGAGATTAGGTGAGGAGAAAACACCCCTCTGGAGGAGCGCTTCTTGGTGGCTGTTTTTAAATTCCCTAGAGTAGTGGGAGCCTGGAGAAACTGCTTATCTCTCTACTGTTTATGTGCCTGTTGGCTGTTCCCACAGCCAAACTATACACCAGAGCTACTCTTATCTTCCCATTTCTGTGCTCCCAAGAGCACTTTGTGTTTGGCATACAGGTTCTTTTCTATTTTAAGGGGTCTCAGCAGCTCTCCCACCAGATGCTTGTTGTGCTTCTGCACTATTTCTCACTTCTTAGTTGAACTTCACTCTGTGTGCCTGGAAAATCACAGATTCTGTCAAGTAGATGAACTGTTGTTTGTTAAACTGGAAAGACAGTAATGGGTGTGCAGTCAACATCCTGTTCAATTATATCAGGTGATTGTGAAGGTGCCGGGGACCATAGGTCAGATGGCAGAGACTCTAGGTGTCCTGCTTTCTACTTTTGAGCTTTCTGATGCCTTCCTCACACTGGGGGGGGGCACCCAGAGCACAAATAAAACAATATAGTTTGGCTTTTGATACCAGATAAGAAGTATCTGAAAATTGGGTACTAATTAGGCACTGATGATGGAATTTTGTTGCCTTGTGTACAAATGTAGATATTGGGTGTAAGGGTTTTTCCAGGTTTTGCCAGCTAGTCTTGCAAACAAATGCATTCAGGGAGATGGTATTTGGACATGTGTTTTGTTCTGGAATAACCTCCATCTTGCAGAGGGGTGACTTCAGAAATAGGATGATTGCTTTGTCTTTTGTAGAGGTATAGCCATCTCTAATAAGCCATGGTGTGTTTTTAATTGCATACAACAGGAGAAGGTGAAAATAGGTTGTTTCCTTTTAAATTTAGCAGCTTATAAATATGCAGGCTTGTCAGGAATGTCAGGTAAATATCCTTTTTGAAGTTGTGCTGTGATGCAGCAAGTACAGAGTTGGGATCCTTATGACTCTTAGGTTGGTCAGTTTACTAAAGATGCAGTGCTGCATGTTTAAAGAATTAGTCTGTGCCTGCTATCTTAGCTCTTAAAAATAATCACATATGCTAGCAATTCAAGCAATGTTCCAACATTTAAATTTTATCAGACTTTTCTTTTTTGTTCTCTACAGGAGCATTGCTCAGAACCCCAGTTTGCTGCGACTAAATCTCAGTGGGTGCTCAGGGTTTTCTGCAGAAGCCTTGGAGCTGATGTTGAGCTACTGTTCTGCGTAAGACAAAAATAGTTTTTGCTCTTCTTGCTTATTGCTATTCCTGAGAAAAAGAATCCTTTTTATTTTTTTCCAGAGGCATCCCTATTGTACTTGTCTCTAATTTTTTTTTATGAGCTTGTTTCTGTTCCTAAATGCCTAACGGTTGATAATTAGCTGAACAGTCAGATAGTTTCTTTCCATCAAGCTATTTTCTTCTTTAATAGCAAAGATGTACTTCAGTAGTTTTTCATGAGTTTCCTTAATCATTCTTAAAGGAAGTCTTGTTGGTGGGTAAATCCCATTTATGTTCCTTTGATTATCATTATTGATTTTCTTAATGAAAGCAGTATGTAATCCTCACAAAGTGGAAGTGTGTTTTGAAACTGAAAAGTGGAGTCCCAGAGCTCCCTTTGCAATCAGAGTACAGCATGAATGGCAGAAAACATTGTGCCTTTCCATCCATGATAGAATAATCCTTCAATAACCTTCTACTTTATGAAGCACTGTGTTCAGATTGACAGCTCCAGTGATTAAACCATCTGTTGGCAGGGAGTCACTGAACTGAGCCCCAGTCAGTCTGGGATTTATATCCTGATCTTTCTGTTGACTTCCTGTGAGATGCTGGACAATCTACTTAATCTTTGCTTCTGCAAAAGCATGTTTTTAATCAAACTGCAAGTTAGTGGACAGACAAAACCTTAATCTTTCTCTGCCTCTTATATGTAGATAATGCTTTCTATTGCTTGGTCTGATTACTTGGATGATGAGCTCTTTAGAGAATGGGAATCTGTACAGTGCACAGTGAATAGCAGATGGCAAACCTGATCCTAGGAATGCTAGTGGCAATTTAAGTGTTTTTCCCTTTACATAGAGATTGCCAGCTAAATGTTCTAGTTGTGCTGTTCACTCTGTCTTTGTCCTCTGGTTACATCTACAACAACCTGCACACAAAACGAACACTTTGTCCCAGCCCCAAATGGTGAGAGGCTATAGGTAGTCAACCATGTAAAAAAGAGTTAAGGTCACAGTATGGCCAACGCTTAAATAAAACTATGAAGTATTTTATGCTAATTATTAACATCAGTCAGATGACCAATTGATCCAAATGGATAACCTTTTTTCCTCTCAATGTGAACATCTGTTCTGTAGTAACAGATTCAGGTCACAAACCCAGAAGTGAGATGAAAAGACAGTGTCTCCCCATGGCAGTCCCTGGGGAGAACCATTTCACTTCCTAAGATATTATTGAATCATTCCAGTTTGAAGTGGCCTTGGGATATCACTGTAACCCCTTGCCCAGAGCAGGGTCTGAATTCAGCACTGGCCAGGTTGATGAGGACTTTCTCTGGTTGGATCTTGAAAACCTCCAAAAACAGATTCCACAGCCTTGCTGGGCAACCTGCTCCAGTGCTTAATTACTGTCACAGCAAAATTTGTCATCATGAATACAGGAAGTTGGTCATAGGTGTGTTACAAGTTTTTGCATAAAAGTATCAACTGTAATAGATAATATCAGAACTCAAACTATATTTCAGTCATTCTTCCAAACAACTCTTTTGTTCACTTGTGTGTAGGTTGGAGGAGCTGAACTTGTCCTGGTGTGACTTCACAGCCACCCATGTCAAAGCAGCAGTCAATAATCTTACTTCAAAAGTAAGCCAGCTAAATTTAAGTGGATACAGACAGAATCTACAAATGCCAGGTAAATAGCAGCATGGCAAACGTTTATACCACTGTGGGATAAAGCAGCAGGCTTTATGTTTTCTTCTGGTTGGCATCTGCTGTGTACATAGAAAGATCATGCACTAACACTGATTTTGTGCTCTGTATAGCTTGATTTTCTTGCTGTCAGAGAATCTTACCATGTCTCTGGCTCAGCCAAGAGGGGTGAGATGACTTGTCTTCTGAATTTAAAGATAGTCAGGTGAAAGCTCACTTCATCTTCAGTTGAAAGGTATGGTCCTTACTTCTGAAGTATGTCCTGGAAGCAGGGTACGCTGGATCCCATGTTCCACTGTGAACTGTGAATTAGCCTTCCAGATACTGTTCTTGGAGCTTCTTCAGCATCTATTGTGGCTGCAGAAGGCACATTCCAAAAGAGAACAGTCATAGTAACTACTTGAGTTTCAGCCTGACATGATGTCCTACAGATACTAGTTAATTTGGAAGGCAAATAATCTCAGTAATCAACTATTTACTCGCTAATAGTTCTAGGAGGGTAAAACTGCAGGGTAATAGAAAATGCAGAGAAATCTAGATCTGGGGAGAGGGCACAACAAAATGGACAAGAGCATAGATAAAGTGTGAAATGGCTTTGGTGGTAAAAAGAAATTAATTTTCTCAATGAGCAAATGTGATGATAGGACTTTGGCTGACAAGCAGGTAGGTCACACACCCCCAGACTGTGACCTCTCTTTTCTGTTTAAATGTCACGCAGACCTCAGCATACATTCCCTTGTGGGGAAATACACCAGTTGTCTTTTTATCTCAGCCCAAAACCCATAAACAAACATGCTACATAATCTCCAAATCAGGAATTTGAATCTTCTGTTGATCTGATCATTAGAGACAATGGGCAGAGCTCTTCTGTTTGCAAAACACTTTGAGTAGTTTTACTCTGTTTCAATGCACTTTGTAAGGCATAAGATTTTAATAGTTCACTAATCATCATAACTTAGGTGTTGTTTTCTTTAGTTTTTGCATGTGAATTCTGAAATACCAACATCCTCTTGCATGTTGATTAGCACCTAGCTAATAATAGTGGCCTTTTAGGTGATATCTGAGCCACAGGTGATTCTATGCTATTTGCAGACAATGAAAAGATGGTCTCAAGAATTTGCAGTTTAAATCAGGAAAACCATAACTTTGTCATGAGGAGAGAGCTTTTTGTGGGTAAAAATGGAGATGCCTAAAGAACTTGGTGCTCTGAAAGGGTATTTTGATGTGTGGAAAATCTTTGGGGGTTTTTTCACTACGTCTAAGAGTTTCAGGCATCTCACCATGACTGTCATAGATTTCTACAGCAGTACAGCATTTGAATGATTTACTTGCTAAGATGCTGGCGCAGTTGACTTTTAGGGACGCTTCTTTGGACTAAATGGATGTGTTTTGCTGAGGATTAAGAAGAGTTCCTGTAAGGTATCTTGGTAGACACTTAAGACCTACCGCATATAGTCTGCCTATCTCTTCTTTAAAAAGTTGTGTTTCAGTTGTGAAAAGAAGATATAAATAAACATATATGGAAGTGAGTAGGCTGTATAAAGCACATTCGTCTTGTTACTGAAAGATGGACTGACTCTGTGTGACCTCTTTTCAGATGTTAAAACACTGGTGGAAAGATGTCCTCGTCTTGTCCACTTAGATCTAAGGTAAGAAGACCTGTGCACCTAGTCCTTAAATCCTTATGGTTCAGGGGACTGCCAATTCTATTGCGGTGCTGTAATGATATAGCAATAATGCATGATTGTGTAGGATTGCACAACCAGAAATTACTTTCTGTGCTAAACCTACAAAAGACTTGCTATCTGGCATGACCTAATCTGGAGCAGGTAACTAACTTGAAGATTCCTTTGTTACCTCAGCATAAGTGTTACATACACAGAGGATTTGTTAACTAACAAGGGAATGTAGTTGATAGGTAGAGTGGAAGGAAGCATTTAAATGCATACTGTTTATGAGTCCAGCATCCCAGAGAGGGTTTATTTCAGCTCTGATATGAATGTTACTTGGCCATAGAACTAAAAAAAAAAAGTATTTTGGCTTTGACCTGGTCAGTTAAAATATTATGAAATCTCGATGTGTAAAGTCATTGCCTCTCCATGGCATGAGTTCTGCTGCAAAATATCTGCTGCAGAGAAGCTTCTGCTTCACTTGCCCTTCAAGGAAAATCAAAATCCCTCCCCCACAACATACACACACTAGAAATGGGTTACTTCCGTAATGAGCAAAATTACTTCAGTGGTAGAAAAAGAAGTTGATATTCATTAAACTTCCCAGCCTGAATTTTAGAAATACCAAATTTACTACGGCTTATACTTAAACCTTTACTTCATGTGCTCTCATGTACAGTGACAGTGTGATGTTGAAGTCTGAATGCTTCCAGTATTTTCGTCAACTCCCCTTTCTACAACATCTGTGTCTTAGCCGATGTTATCAGATATCACCTGCTGCCTTAGTGTAAGTAATCTCCAGATGGCTTCGATTTGCTGTTCATGCAGAGGACAAGTTAATTTAAACTTGCTTTATTTAGGTTTAGGATTGCAAGTACTGTTCTGAAAAATGTACTGGTATGAGGAATTAGGAATAAGGAACTGAGATAAAATACCTGAATGCTAGAGCATGTACCTTTGAGAATTCAGACTGGAACCAAAGGTATCTGAGAGAATCTTTCCATGATGTCAGTCTGTACTCACGGAACTTGCTGCTCAGTGCATGCATCGTGTCTTCCCTTAATGGCTTTATACTGCTGGTATTCATTGTTGATGGTACTAGCTAATCTGTTTGTATTCCTTTGCTTTTGTGTGTACCTGTATCACTTTTTGGTTGCCACTGAAACACAGCTTAGAGTTACTTGCTTGTGGGTTTTTACTGCCTTTTATTAGTATAGCAGCTATCCATCTTAATCCTCTCAGGAAGGATGTCAGTCCTATGGATATGGTCAACAACAACAAAGAGGTTGAGAGGAACAGGACTATCAAAATGGTAATCTGAGGAACCTTTTTTATAGCAGCGTGTGCTGTCATGATGATAGCCTGTATGTCTCTGCCTTTTGATTTTGTCCAATATTTGCTTATAGATACACAGGTCACATGATGACTGGCTGGCTACTCACCAAAACATTGTAACACAATTGGAGACTGATAGTACCTAGGGGCTTGTCTCCTCTGAGCCACATCCTGAAACTTCATCTGGGGCAGTTCCTTCCACTTGTTCTAAATATTTAAGTCCAGGGAGATGAAAGGGGAGGAACCAGTTTGTTTTCACTCTGTGTGAGAGAGAAGGAGAGAACAGCAAGAAGGAATTTATTCAGCTGGTTTCCTGAATTATCAGTACACAGACCTAGTTTCAGTTAAATATGTGCTTTTTAAAAAGTAGGAAGGGGAATTTAGCTTAAGTAGTTAACTTATGTCTAAAAAAAATTAGTAGAAATGCAGTTACCTAGCTTGGGTACAGACTACAAAAAAAGAAAAAAGTTTTCAGGTTCATGATTAACATTGTATTTTTCTCTTTCTAGAGAACTGGGTGAAATTCCAACATTAAAGACTCTTCAGGTATTTGGAATAGTGACTGACAGCTCCCTACAGGTCCTCAGGGAAGCACTTCCTGAGGTGAAGATCAATTGTTCATACTTTACAAGTATCGCAAGACCAACTATTGGCAGTAAAAAGAACCATGAGATTTGGGGCATCAAATGCAGATTGATGCTGAGAAATCCTAATAACGTATGATCATGTACTGGATGTGACAGATGCACTGTATGTAGTGAAACTCCTTAAGAAGCAGAGTGCTGGAATACCTTTAATCATGGCACTGTTATTGTAAAAAGCATTCTAACTTGATCTTGCACCTTAGTGTAGTTTCATAAATATTTTTACAGTATTGTTTTACTTAAGGCCTTTAGAAATCTGCTGATCAATTGAGAATTTTTCTGTAAGTCCTTATTTTTACAGGGGAGCTTTTTAAAAAAAAAAATTATGAAACAATCATTGTAATTAATAATGCAGGTGCAGGTTCTTATGCAGCTTTTGTTGCTGTAAGGTGTTCTAAAGGTGCTTTTGGTTAACTCTTCCAGCTCTACAACTCATAAAACAACTTGTAGAGGTGCTAGATATCTTAATAAGGCTTATTAAGGAGTTGTCTTTGTCTAAGTTTGTGGAACTCAAAATGAATAATGGTATTAAAGCTATTCAAATCCATAATTGAACAAGATGTACCATAAGATGAGAAGCTGCCCACTGTTTGTGAGAGGGATAGAGGACTGAGTCTGAATTCACCAAACCTGAAAACAGTAAATATGGGAAGGGATATCTACACAAAAGCAGCTAAGAGACAGCTCAATACTTTTACAAGTTAAGAAGCAATATAAAGGAGCTACAGTGAAGCTTTTCTTTACCAGGCCACAAAGGTAGCATCTGTTTTTAGTATTCTCCATTGTTAGCAAAATACAGTCTGAAAAGCCCCATCAGAATAAGCATCTGTAGAGCTAGATGCTGGTTATGAGTTGTTTCATGTTGTGGGGCTAGGTTTTCTGATTAAATATTACAGGACCTTAATGTAGCTTCTGTGACCTTGATCTTAGATAAAACTTCTTAATGTTCTCTTACTTCTTTAAGGAATCAGATCTTCCAACTGCAACTGATAAATTGTGCAGGAGGAGGGCTCAAATGGTTCTAGATCTCAGACCAAAACTTGGCACTGCAGCATAAGAGTACTGAAAGGAAGAGATGCTTTGGTGTTATTAAGACATGTGAATTTCTCTTCTATAATAGCTTATGTTTGTAGTATTTAACTTGTATCTGTAACACTAACCACTACTACCTAGTATTGGTGGGTTTTTTTTTAAAGTCATATGAAAAGCTCAGTAACTGTCCAAAAAATCCCCAAAACCAAAAAAAAAAGCCAAAACCAAACCTAAGGATAGGGACAGGTAATGACTTTAAAGAAAACTTTGATCTGGGTCTATCATCAGGGTCCTCGTGCATAAGCCTGGAATGTTCCAGCAGGTGTGTTAGTTCAGAAATCCTAGGGCAAAACTTCCACCCCATGTAGGGCATGAGTATGCTGCTGTTGTTCCCATGTATGCAGTAAGCAGGTGGTGAATTTATTCATAGATGTTTAAGGTCAGCCTTATAGCATTACTGTTGGGCTGTTGCATAGGTATAGTGTTTCCCATCTGAATCTGAGGAGTTCAGGAATGAATACCTGGTAGGACAGAACAGATTAATTACTGTGGAAAGATGTTATGAGTACTAGAATCTGGTATTTAACTTTACTTTCTGTAGTATAGCAGTACAGCATTATGTTGTTAATCTGTCCTAAGTTGGTTTGTGTTTTATGAAATGTAAGAGAGTGTAAGTAACACTTGGTGTCACTAATGGGCTTGTGCCCTTTACAAAGGAGTTAATGGGCAACATCCCTAGTGAAAACTGTAGTGGAGAAGTGATGGAAGCTGGGAGGATAATGGATTTTTCTACTGCTTTGCAGTTTACAGCCTTAGGTTTATGCCTTAAATTACTTCAAGAAAAAAACTGAATCTTTGCAGCACAGCACTATTGTAATTCTTCTCTCTATGCACAATGTAACCCTATACAAATTTAATAAAGATCTAAGGAATTGCTGTATTGTATAAAATGACTGATGGATGGGAGAACACTTTCCCTGACTTGCCACCAACTTTGTGTCATGGGTTTAAAAAAAAAAAAAAAGAAATGTGTCCAAGCAGTGTCTAAACAATGGTGGTTTAGAGGACAGGTTATCACCAATGCATTTAGCATTCAGCAGACTGTGCTTTAAAACCCTGTACAGAATTGGGATAGTAGTACAGCTTTAGCTAGAAGGAATAGTCTTGAACCTGTGGGTTTGTTTGGGTTTAAGTACCAGGTTTAGTGTTGGAAGAGGACAAACATTTCTATTACAGGTCTATTGGTTATGATGGCAGCTGTAGTAGACACATAATGGAAGCTCTCTGGGTGAGGTGCACCACTGACCCTTTCCTAACTGAAAAAAGTTATGTGGTAGGTCCAAGCAATCCATACCAGAAACTACTACATAGATAAGTCTCTGCATTTTACCTAAAGCATGAAGGCTTAGAAACCATTATTTAAAACAAACCACACAGTAAGTCAGAAGAAGCTGAGCACATGAAACACGCTTCAGAGTTGAAATAAGGCACAGGACAGCTTCACGTATCTATTAAGTTTTTAATTTTTATTACATAATGTATAAACACCACTTTTTTTTAAAAAAAGCAAAGAATGACAGGTCTAGTTTAGCAGAACACAGGTGGACTGGCATAAAATGAAAAGATCATGGATTTGATTCAGTAGGTAGAAGAGGTGCAGAGTTCACAGCCAGTCCAGGCAGATTAAAGCAGTGTTAAACCAATACTCAGTCCTGTCACAGAATACTGTCTACCAGGTAAGTGGTACTGCAATCCTTTGTAATGAAGGATCCTTAAAAAGGATTCTACAAATCTTTAATAAAAAAGGTAGCTGCTTACTGTTTATTACAGATCTCTGAATCATCCTAGTTATTTAAATCAAGCATTGACCAGTAAATGCTTCAACAGAAGTGCAATTAAATACAGGTTAAATCAGTAGAGGCCACTCATGAGACGGTCAGGTTTCCATTTTGCTAAGTAAATTAGGAATTTGACTGAAATCTCTTACTAGGCCCTAAACAAGATCATACTTTGGGTCTGTAGGGCCTGAAAACATTGCCTTTTAGTCTCAGCATTCATAATAAGGAATGACAGGCACCTTGAAGAGGTATGTACCCTGATCAGACTAATCAATCCCCATTAAAACATTACAGCACACAAATGTCTATAAATAGAGTAGGGAACAGGGTTTCTGCTGTAAATTTGTCTATGCAGGTATTCAAGGACACTTTCAATACCTAAATGTCTGATCCAGCACAGTGGTAAAGTCCTAGGAAGTCATGAATTAGTGTTAATGGCATTGGTGGGTTGGGGTGTTTTTTTTTGTAATCTTAACAGCATATTGACTAGTGTACTAGACAGAGGCACATAAACCATCCTTAAGTGGTTACCGATGGATTAGGAATAAATAGAAATACCCTAGTCTTTACGCAGCCAACCTTCTAAAGAAAGATTAGTCTTTTGCATCTTTACCTTTAGACCAGTTTTGCAGATTATTTTAGACATTAAGAGCTTTATTCTGATAGTTCCTGAACTTACCAAGTTCTGAAAGTGTATTTGGCTACTTTGATTTTCCCCTTGTAGTCTGCAGTCCTGCTAACTCAGTCTGCTTGAGTTATTTACACTACCTGCAGCACACTTAAAAGGTGAAATGTATGCAAACAGTGATAGCTTTTTCAAAAAGGTCCATCAGTTATCACATTTTCCTAAACTGAATGGTCTGGTCAAATAATTTTCCTCTAAATTCTGGTTTAGAGTGAATACAAACACTTAAGTAGTAGAAGGAAAAAAATCCTTTATCCCTTTCTTCCACCTGTAAAGATCAGTTTCTATTTTGTGATTGGCAATAAATACACTGATTGGCCACAGTGGAGAACGTTTCCCTTAGATCTGAGAACATCTGTTACAGAATTCTCTTAATTCAAAAGTAGTTTGAAGAAAACTCACTTTTGAAAATAGATCTGTAGTAGACAGGACAAAACAAACACATTTGTTTCAAGTCATGTAGCAGAAGAGTTCCTGCTGTAGGAATCTTCATTTTGTCAAATTCTGCCCCCATCTATGCATTACCAGCACAGACTTTCAAAGGCAGTCATAGTTCACAGTTTCTCTAAAACATTATCTAAAAAGTCACTTCCTCTTCTACAGTCAGAACTTTTTTCCTATTATCAACTTGCTTACCAACACACAGAGGCATGTAAAATTAAAATAATTTCTTGCCAATTAAGTATCAGTAGAATTCAGCATATGATTGGAAATTGAAACTTTCTGGGGAAGTTAAAAACACATACTTGGAAAACTGGGAGACATATACGTATTAACTTCTGCTCCAACTACTAGCACCCAGCACATCTCATTCTTCAATTATAAACTCAGAACCTAGAATTCCAAACCGTTCAGCTTAATAAGGCCAAATACCTTTCTTAATGATAGCCACCTACATGCACTACTATGACTGAACACCTGCTAGCCAGCTAATCCATTCAGTGAAGGAGTATATCTTTCTTCAACGTTTCCTGTAGTCTGTATATTCCTATTAAAGGGCTCAAGAAAACCCTTGGCTTTCAAGTCCCTCTCTAACCAAAAAGAAAAGGTAAGACCTACCTCATTCAAGATGTGATTAAACCAGACTTCTACTTGTGATGTAAATCTACAAAGTAGAAAAAATACTGGAAGAGCAAAAAAAAAAAATTGTCACAAGGTGTATGAAACCACAAAGTTGTAAAATTTTTGAAAAGCATACAAAAAGTTTGTATTTCTGTTTCTATTACATCAACATCAGGATTTAACAAAACCTATATATCCTTGCATCAAATTGCTAGATTGACAGTCAGCTTTTCTACAAAAGTATATGTATGAAGGTGTTTAGTTTCATCAGTCCCAGACTGTTACTACAAAACTGTACATCTGAATATGTAATGCTACTGACTTAATACTTGAACCCATCTACCCGTGTTTAAAAAGATGTTCTTTCCTGTTTGCCTTACAGGTTAAAATGTCAATTTTCACTGAAGTTAGAGGTAAGACTTCAGGTATATTTGTTTTACACCATATGCAAAAAGAGCTTAAATATCAGGCTAAGATTTTCCCCAACCCAAAGGAGTGAAAATCATCTCAAGCTTCCTCCAAATGCTCTTGCATCCAAAAAGGCTAACTTCCAACTTAATGCAGCATTGTGATGTGCTCTATCCCCATGAGCTCCCTCTCTGGATCCAGAATTTGTTTCAGCAGAAGACACTAGTGTCCTTCATTCTTCCAGCAGAACAGTGCACAGTGCATCCTCTGTATCGATCATTATTGAAGCTATCGCCCCATCATTGAACTCAAAAGATGTTCCTCCATCTACAACCATACATGCATCCCAACAACGGGAACGGACACAGACTCTGCAAAAACCCAAAAAACAAGTTTTCACAAAATAGCTTAAAAAAATTAAGCATTTCACACAAGCACTTATCTGAACAGTAAGACTGGTTCTTGGACATTCCTTTGCATAGGTTAGTAAATGCTTAATCACACAGGAACATAGTTAGAGAAGAATTTAGCATGGTACTAAGCACCAGAATCCCCCAACCCATCAATACTTTGTATAGATATAGCAAAAAGTCCAGAGAGGACTGAAGAACTTGTTTAAATGGAGACTATTGCTCCAAGTGTCTGAGAACAGCCTATAACATAACACTTGATAGTGAAAGCTGCAGTTCAGGTGTATTTTTTAAAGCAAGCTACTGATGATGCCATTTAATAGTGATTTGCTTAATCTTTCACAGAAAAGTTTTCCATAAATTTATGATTCTTATGTATGGTCTTCATGTTAAGTGAAGCATGCAGTTTCAACTGTTGTGGCAATGGCTGACAGTCAAACAATTTGGATATTAATACAGTCTATTTTGTTACATGAATCATTGACAGAAGGAAAGTAATTTCAAACACAGCTGAAGGTCAGAATGTGTGTGAGGCAACATCATAAATACTTATTGCAGCATATTACTGTCAATATTAGAGTTTGACTACTATATCTTTTAAGCTAACAAATTTAAATTCAGCTTATATAATTTCAAGGCAGCTCTTTTAGAGCTGGACAAAACAGAATAAAGCTACTAACCATCTTCCTCTTCACTTACCTTTAAAAGGAAAATTAACTCAACCACTGGAATTTATTCCTTTCACATGTGTAGAAAGCAAGAACACTATCAAATAAAGAGTTCTCCAAACTTTTTTCATATTGCTAGATGGGAACCAACAGTTATGCCAGAGCAGCTGCAAGACTATAGTCTCACATGGATGTGCTTCATTGTTTCTGACTTAGGCCTTGGTCTAGACAATGTTTTGATCTCCAAAATCAAATCAACAATTATCCAGTGACTTAAATTTTCAGGAAGACACACCTTTCACAAATATGAAAAGAAGCTTGGAAGTACAGCCACAGTGTCAAAGCTTAATTGGTCTCTGCATCACTAAAACACAGCCAAGTCTGGACACTGTAGAAGAACATGGAAGCATGTTCCACTCCTCCATTTCACTCTGGGCAGCTACTATGTCAAAAAAGATAAAGACCAGCAATGGAGAGGTGTCCCAGATCAACTGTGACAGGCAGCAAATTCTACTTGAGGAAGGAAAAATGGGCAGATACCCCTCACAGGTATGCAAACGCTTGTAGCTCTAGTACAGTTTTTGTAGTATATTCCATGTTGAGGGCTCCAAATAAGACAAGACTTAGTACTATAGAACCTATGGGTGAAAATGCAGTTATTTGCTCCTATTTTAACCTCTCCTCTTACCATCTCTTAAAGATTTACTCACCCTTGTAGAAATCCCAGATCCAAATGACTAAGCAGTAAACATTTAAAGACATGACACATACACAGTAGGCATCTAATATCATAGTATTTAGTCCCAGTAGCCAGAGAGATCCTTTATTACTAAGTCATAAAATGTTGTTGTAACACTGATGTGGCTCAAAAGAAGCAGAATTTGTGTCTCCTTCGAGGCAGAGCTCCTTTAGACATTTGATTTGATATAAAAGGTTGAATTAACATTTAATTAATATGGAGATACTGCATTGTTCTCAACATAGTTTATTCTGAACATACAACAGTTGCCTGTGTTTAATTGTGGCAAGCTCCAGAAAAATCACAGAATCATTTAGGTTGGAAAAGACCTTTAAGATCAAGTCCAACTGTTAACCTAGCACTCCCAAGTCCACCACTAAACCATGTCCCTAAGCATCATGTCTACAGGTCTTTTAAATACCTCCAGGGATGGTGACTCTACCACTTCCCTGGGCAGCCTGTTCCAAAGCTTGACAACCCTTTCGGTGAAGAGATTTTTCCTTATGTCTAATCTAAACCTCCCCTGGTGCAAGTGTCCTAAGTTAAAATGACTGAATTACCAATTACTAATTTAGTTTGGAAGGGCACCTAGTCCAACCTTCCACTCAAAGTAGGCCTTACTTCCAAGACAGATTAGGTTGCTTAGGGCCTTGCCCAGTCAAGTTTTGAGTATCTCCAAAGACGGTTGTAGCACAATCTCTGGGCAACCTGTTCTACTGCCCTGGGCAACCTGTTCTACTGCCTGACCATTCTCACTGTGAAAATTTTTTCCTTTTTTATCAGAACCTTACATCCTATAAAATTATGGCTGTTGCCTCATACTTTGCTCTGAAAAGAGTTTAACTCAGTCTCCTCTGTAACCATCCATTGGCAGCTGAAGACAGCAACTGCATCTGCCCTGCTTAGTCTTGACTCCTCCAGGCTGAAAAAAAGCACCGTTTGAGTCCCTCCTTTATACACCATGTGTTCTGGCCCCCTAATCATCTCAGTAGCCCTTTCCTGAATTCACTGCAGTCTGTCAATGCCTGTGTCTCATATTGAGGGAACAGCACACATCCAAACCTGGGCACAATGAGATTCTTTTATTCTGTAAGATAGTGCATGGATCAAACATTAAAAAGGCATAACACAACTTGGAAACATTTTCTTCCTGTTGTTATGAGAATGATACTCAAGCCCCTCAACACACAAACTGGATGTTGAAAACACTTCAACGGAAACTCCTGGATTACTCATACTTTGAGAAATACATAGAATGAAGTAACTCTTCAGTGACTGCTACAGCCAACACTTACTTTGAAGAGAAGCCACGCTGCTGGCTACTTGAGAAAACTCTGTTTACAATAGGTTCTCGAATACTGAAAAACATCTTTGGTTCTTCTGGACTGTAGAGCAGGGACTCGTTGTAATCATTTGTTACTGTAAACAGAGAAATCAGCCATTAGTTTTTCAAGAGAAATTAGTTATTCTCAGAAACACACATTCCTCCAGGAAAGAGCAGCTTCCCTACTGAGAGGGAATATTCAGTCTTGCCAGATGTTTAATAGCCTTTGCCTGCAAAAAAAATTATTTTTACAGAAGATGCCTTTCAGTTCTATTGCATGATGAACACTCAACAGCTCTCTTCAGCTTATTAAGTGTCTCAAATCTTAGGAGAACTGAAATTCTCCTGAAGATCTATATATATGAAAGTCTAAGAAGTGCTTTCATACCAAGTCACATTTTTCACCAAATGTGCCTAAATAATATTTGTAAGAAAGACCAATATTGCAAGAGTGCTAAAATACTGAAAGCAGTGCCAAGTATTAAAAGTATGAACAAAATGAACTGGTCTAGGTTAAGATACCTAAAAGAAATCTTGCCTTTTTCACTAACCTTTTTGTACTAGTTCCGTGTTCAACGGCATATTCAAACTTCCATGCTTTTTAGCTGTTGAGCCAAAAGAAAGAGCCCCAATTAGACAGGTGTATCTTTATATAAACTTGGCCAGTAATGCCACGCTGTTCACTCACCGATCTTAAGGATCTCTTCAACAGCTTGATGTGCTATCTTGTTAATATTATAGGACCTAGACAGAGAAGTAGAAGTCTTGTTTGCTAAACAATACAACTTAGGAGAGAAACAAACCAAAACCAAAACAAAACAATCTTGCAAACAGATAAAGAACTATGTTCAACATCAGGAAGAAAAAAGAAAATAAACAATGCTATTATGTGTGAGCTGACATTGGTTTCTTCAAAAAAATGTCTTAAATTAACTCTTGGTTTGACTTCCACCTGTGGCTTTGTAAACCTTAATAATCCATTAAGTGAAGTCTTCAGTAAAAAAGAGTATGATACACAGAATGTAGTCTCATCAATAATCCTCCTGCCTTAAAACCCCAATAATTGCTCATTTAGGTCTGCATTAAAAAAACTGAAGCATGACAGTTCCACAGATTCTTCTATCCACCTCATGCTAATTAATTCCTTCTGTTAGTTCTCATTTATGGGACCCAACATTTCTTTACAAATATTATGCCTCTTTGTCCGTACCCTAAGGTGTGGGCTTGAATCGCACAAGAATCGGTGTATATAGAAAAGGAACAGTCACATCAGACACTTCTGCATTTGCAACATTTGGATGCACAGGAAATCAGCATAAAGCTCTCAGTCTGGACCAGATCTAAACTCCCGTAAAAATCTCCCTCCTGTGCCCAGGCTCAAAAGGGATGAGGTACTAATCACAGCCTCTGTGCAGCAGTACTGTGAACATCTCAGTTGCCCAGGTCTCAATACAGCTTAAAATCCTCAGTCCAGCACTTCTGTCATGGCAGTAGAAAACCTCAGACTGCAACAGACATCCATGACACATCTAACAGACTACAGAGCTGCTGAGGGTGGTAGCCCAAGGCTCCTTCTCTTACACTTATCACCTACCTGCAAGCCTGAGCAGATGCTAGCAAGAAACTGAGATGCACAGTTTGAAATTGGTCTCTCTCCCGACTAGATATCCTTTTATGCAAGTTTTAGCAGCTGAAGGAAGCACTTGGACATTTAAATGCCTCTCAGTCTGAGGAGGTCTGAAATCCCAGGAGACCCCCTAAACCACAGGCTAGGGAAGATCACTCCACTGAGGCTTGGCCTCAGTTTAGAGAAGTCCAGCAGTACACACTGATTACAGCAATGGAGGTGGGCAATCCTGGAGTTTGGTCCCTGGTTCTGGGATTGCTCAGTACAGAGTATATAAGCAAATGAAATGTGTAAAAACAGCTTCGAACTAAGATTGTATATTCCCAAGGTACTGAACACTAGGATAATTTCCCTAGCAGTCTGCCAATTTCATCCTTGGCAACCTCCAGGACTAAGTTACGCTGACTGAATACAAAATTCTGAATTACAATGAAGAGTAAAACCCAGTAACCATGGTTACAGCATGAATATTCATTTTTGAATTTCATTAAAAGCTTCAGTTTTAGTTCATCTTAGCCTGCCACAGAAATCCAGGGCCTGTTGTACAACTTTAAACTATAAGCACAGCCAGATTTCCAAATGAAAGAGGCTCTCGCTGTACACATCTCTCACATCCCAAAACTAAATTGACTAGACTTAACATGCAGTACTGCAGCTTGTTTAAACTGAAGTTAAGATAATTTATCCCTTTGATTAACTAGCACAGCTCCGCTTAGATATGCCTGTCTTTGTTTAAGGGGGATATTTTGGCAAAGAGACTGTGCCCTTTCAATTAAGTTTGAAAGAGGCAAGAGGCTTGGAAGGAGAATGGACAGTAGATGTGCCAGAGAACACTTAACACTGTTTCCAAGTACATGTTTTCCCATTCTTGTTAGAGCTTAGATTTTTTTAAGTTTTCTGAGCTACTTCATCTAAGCATTTTATTTTTAGCCCACAAGAGTAGTTCAGAGATCCCCCCAACACGCTCTGCAAGTCAGAGCAGAATCTCTTTCCCCTGCCACCCCCAACCATTCATCTCCCCGTGCGGCATATAACCTCTTTCACCAAAATTACACCTAAAGTAAACTTCTGTCTCAATGCCTCAGCTTCTCACCCTTTCAACTCTTCTCTCCATACCTACAAGTGAGGGGTGCTCTGCTCTTCTCATACACCTGAGACAGTTCTGAACCATACCGACAATGAGAATATTTGGACATAACTGACATGCACTGACTTACCCATAGCCCAATAGAGTCTCAGTATGGACAAAATGCTTAAGCAAAATAGGTCCATCTAGCTTATCTGAAGCGATATTTTATATCAAAGCAGCAACAGGAACTTACCATGCTTTTGATCCTGTTCCAGTACACACATTAAGCCCTGAACTCTTCTGTTTTTCCCAAGGACCATCATCAACTGATATCTCATAATAGGAGGCCCTATGAAGCGAGAATTTAAAACTGGGTTTGCAGGACTTAAAGTTCTCCCTGAATAAGACAGAACACATAGCCTTATCAGGCACATAAAAATTTAGAGGGGCTAGTTTCAAATCTGGATGACAATTTCACAGGCTTTGCAAAGTGTTTCTGATTTGGCACCCGCTTTTGATTCACTGTTTCATAGCATTTTTTATAACAGACAAAAGTGATTTGCAGCATGAACTTTCAGGCCGTTTTTCTGCAGCCACTTTCATACTAAATTATGCACAAAGAACTCTGTGGTTCATCTCAGAACAGCTTTGTATACTAGCAGGGTTTGCTGGACTTACAAATGAAACTACAAATACACTACCTTCCTTGCATAGTTGTTGAACTACTGAAATACCGTGTTTGTGCTGTGACTGAGTTTCATAAAATTACATTAGGGAACACTAAGACGTAAGGCATTCCCATGCCAGTAAGTAATAGCATGGCTTCAAGCTGAATTCTTGATCAGTTCAGTAATTAAAAATCCACTGTGATTCTTCATGAACAGTTTTAGTTTTGCAACAGTCAACAGGCTTATGTTTCTCTCCAGGGCAAATTCTTCCTAAAACTCAACTGTAGTAAGTCTTGGGGCACAACCATCATTCTGCATGGTATTATTCATGTATCAGGGGATTCCTAATGTTAGGCCTAGAGAGACCAGACAGTCTCTCTCTGTAAACTTCAGAAGATCCAGGGGTGTATTTATGAACTAAAGTTGTTGAAGTTTGTAGTGCCTAATTCAAACAGTATGATATAGTCTTCAGATTAACAGATACCCTCTTAGAAAAAGGCCACATTCACTGTATTCAGCATGACTGAGTTTCACCCTTCTTAGTAAAAGGAGCCTACTGAGCTGTTTTAGGTGATGAATGTTTCAGTCTGGATCGACTAGGAATACACCTCTTGAATATTTGGTGTCAAACAGTTTAGACTCTTAGTAACTAAGGGCATTTTGTGTACTCACTCTTGAGAAGATGGGAAGATGAAAGAACTGGAAGCAAATTAAGAACACAGGTGTACAGCTTGATTCAGTTTAAGGTAATTTTTTGCAAGCTGGGTATGAAAGAATTTTTTTTTCCCCTTCAATTTCCTTTTTTTCTTAACTGACATGCAGAATAAGACCTTGGAAGAAGCACCTAGAGTAATTTTGTCTTAACATACAGCAGACTTGTGTAGTTGAACCTTACGGAAGATTCATCTGTGTGACATCATAATTTCATTCTTCAAGTGTAAGATCCTATTAACACAATATTTATTACTAGAGATTTATTCCTACAGGCATTGTGTTCCTCAATGCTTCTCAAATATACTGGAACGAAAGAGCACAATGTATTTGTAACACTCAGAAGTAGAGGACTATTATAAAGTGTTGGAAAGCAGCTTTGTGTTCCTCTATCACTGTATGTTAAAGAAACTTTTTAGAATCTTGATAAAATTTGTTTTGATTTAGTAGAGAGCAAAACTTGTATCTCTTTGAGACTAATTCCTTCTGCCAGTCTGAGGCTGCAGTCCAGATGGAAGATAAAGCACTCATGGAACATTTATACTCTTTCCAGCAGCAATCACAGTGTCCCAGGCACTGTACAAACACAAGAAGATGTTATACTCTAAAGTTAAAAAAAACCAAACCAAAACAAAACCAAAAAACCCAGAATAAACAGAAAAGGGATATAAAATACAAGGAAAAGTGTGGTCAAATCCTGACCAAGGACCATGTTTTAACTCCTTTCCTGCAGCCTCATCACATTCCCCACATCCTTCTTGTTATTGTTTGCCTGGCAGAAATGCACTGATCTTCAGGACAGAAAGGATAGTCAAAGGTATCCTGGATAACGCAATACCAGAATTTGATACAAACTCATTTCTTAAAACAAGGAAATAAGTGTTTTCCCACAATAACAAAGCTTCTGCCAAAGGCAGGCTGATCCTTTGACTCTACTGACAGAGAGGCAAGGAAGGGAGTACTTGGTCATGCTAAAAGCTACTTCTGCTTGGTCATGCTAAAAGCTTATGAAACTATATTTAAGAAGAGATGCAGGAGAGGAGGGCATTTAAGAACAGATAGTTAAATCTGCAATTCACTGTAAAGATAGTAACTAAAGGCATTTGGTTACCTAAGAACTAACCAGGAAAGGAGTAAAACAATGAAGAGGAAAGAAAACGGCCAGGAATAACAAAAGAGGAAAGAATGGCCACACAGGAAGGTGGAAAACCTGAAATTAACATCACTCCACTTACATCTCTGAAAATACACTTTGTAATCAGCAAAAATACAGTCAGTGTTATATATTCATGGACTAAAACTGAAAATTGACAGCAAAGACATCCTATCACTGACTGTCTATTGCAATGTCATAAAAAGAAATTAAGTCAATTGTGCCTTGCTGCAACAACAAACAATTAAACATACCTGGATGAAAGAGATTCCCCAATGAAGACTTCATTGAGCGCTCTCACTGGTAAAAGATGTGGACCAGAAATGTCAGATCCTGCAGATATTGAATATAACAGTTTTGAATCATGGCTGTAAACCCCAAATTTTCAAAAACAATTCACAACTCATTGGAGGACACATGCTGCTGCCTGGGTTTGTATTCTAGACCTAGTGCTCCATTTTCTTCAAGGACTCAATTTTTCACTGATTTAGTCTGTAGCCAGTCACTGTCCTTTACTGGAGACTACAAATATTTGAAGCAAGGTCAATAAGCATTGAACACATGTTCAGACACTGCTTTCGCTGAAAACTCATGGGCAACCAGACAGATTGAAGTCCTCCCTTCTGTCAGTCACTCTTCCAGCCTGGTTAAATTCACTGACAGTGACAGTGACATTTCTGATAAAGTTCAAAGAATTAGACTTTATACCACAGGGTAATTATGAGGGATTAACAAATTGTTCATGTTGAATAAGGACTTCTCAGCGAGGAAATGCAGTGCTAGACACAGGTTAAGAACAGAAGCATTCATCTTCAATCCATCACAAAGAAAACAGTCAAAGGTGTCTGATGACCAAAGAATTACCCACGGAGAGATTCTCACTTCTAATTTCTCATTTGCTTGCTGGCAGTCTGTGACCAGCTTTTTCAATTGTGAAGTAACCTACCTCGCATTTAGCACAAGTTAAGAGTGCACACACATGCACACATGCTTTTAGCGTGGAGCACCTAAACGCATGGTAAAACATTTGTGTGGTCACCCCAGGTGTCCACAATAACCGTAGGAGAGAGCATTTTAAAAAAGCTTAGGCACTTTGCCAGCAGATAATACTATTTAAAAACATCTCTAAACTAACTGTTAATACTGAAAACTGGTTCTAAGTGTACAGTCCAGAATAAACCTACAGAAACAAAAAATATTCCCTTCTAAAAAACCTTAATCTGGGTCTTCAACTAATGAGAGCTGTCTCTCCCTGCCTCTCAGATACAGCAACCAGACTTTAATACTTCAACTCTTACAAATCTTTATCTCCTATTCCAAGTTATCATAGCAAAGTGATTATATTCTTGTCAGATTTTAACCTACTTTGATCCTGGAATCTTTCATTTATGTGAGCCCTACTGTGTTGCTCTTGGCTTAGCTGCTGTTCATGTAAATCTACAGGGATTGGGTTAATGCCAGTTCCTTCAAGATACAGTCGGATTCTTTGCCGCCACTGCCACCTTAGAAAGGAAAAAGAAGTTGGTATCAGTAGCTGAAATATTCATTACAGAATTAGATAGGATCAGAGAGTCTTCACTCTCAAAGCAGAGCATCTTAAGATTAAGTGTTAAATATATTCACAGCCACATTTCAAGTTTTATAGCTTCCACTATCATTTCTAAATTTAGAAAGTTAATCATACTAAAATGTAAATACTTTCCACTTACCAATTTGCTACCTGATGTTTTTTGTACGTGTAGAATAAGAGGACACTGGCCAAAAGTAGTTTACAAAAATTATAGATAACAACTCATCTTTTTAGGCATGTGATCCTAACTTATGAATTCATGACTGATGCAATGATTTTGAGAACAACAAGTTCTCAGGAATTTGTACAGCAATACATGCTGTATTTTTACCATCTTTTGTTTGTATTTGTAGATGTCCAGAAAAGCAGTTCTACCCACCCCTTTATGCATAAGGGCCACAAGTATCCTCTCATTTTCAGAATCTCACCTAGCCCAGGAACTTAAGGGTGCTTAAGAGGAATTCAAATAAAGAAAGAGAAGGATATAAAAGGCATTCTTCCTTAAGCTGTTACAACATTCAGATTTTTTACTTTTTCCTAGAGGAGGTATCAATTCCTTTTTCCTCTTACAATTTAGAAGAGATTATATAAAACAAAATAGTATAGTAGTTTTGATTAAGAAAGCAAATCACAAGGCAGTGTTATGGGCACATCTTTTCCCTGTTCATACTGTTGCTGTCCGGGTGGCAGTAACCAGCTTACATGTTTCCTGAAATTACAGCAAGGAAGACTTATGCTTTATATGACTACATTACTAGTTTTCCCTCATTGTCATCTTTGTAAAGCCTCATTGAATACATCCTTAGTATAATTACCTTAAATTCCAAGTGTGGTTTCAGGCAGTCAGGCAGACAGCATGCAGTGAGTATCATTATGCTAGCCTCCTTACAATACTCATGCTAGAACATGTCAAAACCCCTACAAAATTAGGAAATGGGACTGTACCCCAACTATACCCCTATTTTGAGATCCTGTTACACCACTGACCATCAAAAAAAAGAAACATGGGTAGTCTGATGTAGTTTGTCCTTTATAAATCAATAATGTTGGTTGTTTCATGGGACTACAAGGTAAGTGCTTACACAGACTGTTGCACTGAAGTGGCTGACACTTCAAGGATAAGGAGAAAAGACAATCCCCCTTTTCCAGTCTCTGGCACCTCACTGTCCTTATGCAACTCTGAGCCACCAGAAGCTCTTCCAGATGGGCTGATCCAGTTACCCACCTATTTTAAAGTCTCCTTAGGGCCAAATAAATGTGAGAACTGCTAAGTGAAATGCCCGCTCAGGTCCCTGCTTAGGAATATCAGTTCCTATTATTCTGGAAAAATAACCAGGGAGATCCTTTCTGTGTCACTCTGTTGAGGCTTCAGCTCCATAATGAGCAACAACAGGAGTGTCAGCAACAAAAATATAACATCTAACAAAACATCAGAAGTGCCTAGATTGTCAAGGGAGGTTGATACCTGCATTAGCACTACCAGCTCTACCTAAGCAACTTAGTATGACGGAGAGTTAAAAGCTTCTGTTTTCTAAGTCTCAGAATATGTGAGTTGAAAGTACCTTTTCATTTAGCAATACCTATTGAAACCCCTTGTTATTTATAATCAGTCCTGATGACTGTATTCACCTCATTTCAGAACTTTATTCTATGGCACAAATACAGCTACACTTCAAGCTACAAATTAAATATGCTAGAAGTATAAACAAAACCCAATTGCAATATATTTTCACTTGAATGACTTATTTCTGTTTGATGGTTCGCCATCATAAAAGTACTCCGGAATGTTAATACACCACAGAACAATCTCTCTTTTTAAACAGTTAAAAAAATTCTTCCCTAGTCTGTCCTTTAAAATTCAGCCTGCTTCCTTCTTAATTCAACTGAGATTCTTCTATTTTAAGAAAATCTAGTATTGAAAACATCAAACTATCTTCTGCATAAATAAAAGCTTTGCCTTAGACCAATCTGTTAACAAAATTTAAGCCACTCTATCTTAATGACCAAACCCCCAGATGTATCACACTGACCATTTCCTAACTGTATCAGCTTCATTAGCTTCTATTAGTATGGCCCATCGCTGCACTACGTATGCTTTCAAGTGTTAAAATATGTAAACCAATACACCCTTTACAATCCTTTAAGAATTTGCTAAGTCAGAAAAGAGAATCAATTATTGAAGGTCATAACAAAAGTCTTTTTGCTTGAACTGGCAGCCAGTTTTACCCTTTGTATTCCAATCTCACTCTTGACCACAAACCCATTTTTCAACATGGTGAACACCTACACAGAATTCATGATTTGAGGCATTAAGATTTTACTAAGCATCGTCTGCTCCTTAGGAATTGCACATCATTAAGTATCTTCCAATCATAGTATGTTTTGGAAAATCAAAGATCAGTGAATCCTACCTGAACTCACCACGGTAAAGCTTCTGTAGTGCTTCAGGAAATGAGTGCGTATATCTCACAGGCAAGCATAAGTGGCCCTCTGATCTGGTAGCAAAAAAGGGCAATGAAAATAGCAGTGTAACTATTAAGATTTGGTACCTTTAAAAAAACAAAACAAACTTCTCTTTCTGTTGTATAAAGCAAAGCTACACTTTGACCTTTATGAACCTATACTATTCTTATATAATAGCACATCAGCAACAGTACACTTCTTTCATATCCTGGGGTTTATGTGTATGAGACATAGGATGTTTCTCCCACATCTCCCCTAAAAGCTGGCTGTTCAGCTAGTAATCCTGCAGGAATGTGTAGGTACTAATATAGTTCCTGTCACCATAGTTCTAGGCAAGGAATTCAAGCTTAATACACCTTGCAAGTTAGAAAGAAAATCTCTTTCATTTACACCCAAGTTAGCAATACGAGACAGGTAAGCAACATGCCTAAGATCAAAAGAATCTTATGTCAAAGCCAGAAGACTAAACACTGCTCCACTTTCATAAGTGATATTTGATAACTTGAAGGCACTTGTTATTTGAACCCTGCTATTCAGGCTTGATACTGTAGAATATCTATTCACAGCATTTGAAAAGTTTTGAAAGAGGAGTAAGGTATGGAAGGAATTAAAACTTCTGGCCACCACTTTCTTATCTGCTAAGATTAAATTAACTGGCAATATCAAAAGCAGAAATCTAAACCTGGAAATCTCAGCAGACAGAGCCTTGGTGAATTCTGAGTTTTACTTGCCATCCATTTGAAGGTTATACCAACTAGGCAGCACTAATACACTGCATCCACCTGCCCAAATCAATCTTGTGGCTAGGTGGATGCAACTCGTGTGGAGTTTATAACAGGACAACTAAACGCCATTAATTGGCTGAGAAGACTGCATCCTTTGGGGTGTGACATGGTTTACACGAAGAAACCAGAACAAACTTCTTCACCTGAGGCCCTATCAGATTTCCAATAGTATTTGCCTTCTTCATAAAGAAACCAAGTTTCTGTGTGTTCAGGCACAACACTTAGTTGCTTTTGCTAAGTCCCTTTTCCTGTCTCTGTTCTATACTGCCACCTCTAGTCTCAAACTTCTGGTTAGTAATACAAGTTAACTAGCTGCAAGTGCTGTTACACTGATGTGTGAAAACAGCTGTGGCAGTTTAACACCGTCATCCTTATCTAATACTACTTAATGTCCTCTCAGATGAGACCGGGTAATTCATTGTGGAAACTTTTCTAACACAACAACAGGTTCGCTTGGTATCTACAATCCACTGAAACAGACGTTTACACTGCCAAATGCTACAGGCATGCCTCATGCATCATGAAAACAGATGCATATTGTGCCTGATATTAAATAAAGCATTGCTTTCCCAAATGTGATTTTACCTTTCAGGATCAGTATTTACTCCAATAACTGGTTTAAATTTATCAAAGACCTTACTGGCTGCCAACAACATTGTACCGTCACCTACAAAAAAAGCAAAACAAATGTTAGTTTCACTTCACATTCTAGTATCCCAAACAAAATAGTCTCACATGTACCGCAGCATTACTGCTATGTGCTTTTATATCAACAACCAATCAGGTAAGCTGCACAAAAATAAAATGGGACCACAAAACTACTGACACATTTCAAAGCAGAGTAGTGACAACTAAATTCAAGGTGGCAAATGTGACTGGAAAAAGTACAACTTAACTGACAGCTACACATGCCCAGGCAACTGAATTTGGCAGAAGCAAGTTTGAAAATAGATTTATGGAAATTTCTGTATTTTTATCAGCTGGTAAGAGAAATTCTTTAAGAAACTAAATTTAGGAAGTATCACTAATCAAAGCCATGGGAGACAGGAAACAATACCAAATTTTACTGTGAATCACATGAAAACAATTACTTTAGTTCCATCTCAGTTGTTCTCCCAGAAGGCACAATTTAAAGGTCTTATCTGGCCCCAAACAGGCATGCTTGGAAAATAAGTCTTAGACAAAACTGTTGAAGTAGAAATCTTTAAGTGTCACGGGTTTCTTCAGATATTGATATTCTTTCCTGTCTGTTAAACAGAAGGACAACCATAACCTGAATCAGTCTTTGCACCAAGACACAAGCTCTGAAAATCTCAGACGATGTATCACTTCCCAGCTGCTTGCCTCATAACCATGACAAATCTTGCCACAGCCAAACTGGCACTTTAACCTACAGCTTAGAGGAGTCCTTTGACATCTACAGGAGCATATTAGGATGCTTCAGGAATGTACACATATCCCTTTCTACCCACTCTGCGTGGTAACCAGTAGCTAAGGGCAAAGCGGACCAGTGGAGAGGAGAGAAAGGCAGAGCAGCAGTCAAGTCTAACTGCCACAGACAATCGAACATTTTGTCAGAGCCCAGCTGCACACAGCAGTATTTGCAGCAAATCACAAAAATAACACTGAATGGAGAGCTGCAATCCAATGTTAAAAAGAAACCATCAGGTCAGATGCTCTGTTGGTTCATTTAAAAAGCTCTCATCAGTGGCACAGGCTGCTCAGAAGTTGAATACTTTTACCTGTACCATCCAACTAGATAATCCAGTCACTGGAGTTAAGTGTGAAAGCAAGAAAGACAGTTTGAGCAAGGGGAGGAAAAGGTAGTATATTAGTCTCCAAAGAGAGATTCCAAAAGTCTCCAAAACCAAACCAAAGAGCAGGGTTTAGGGCTGTGTATAATCACACGACAGCAAGCATTTTATCCTCTTCAGTTGACAACTATAGTAAATTCCACAGTTTATGCTGTTTTAGACAAGACAAGTAAATGTTTCCACAGTAGTCATGCACTGGGATTCACTTCCTAGTGAATTTTAGATACTAGAGGTAGAGAGGATCGTCACGACCATTGCATTTTGTCATAATTTCTGACAATTAGATAAGCAATTTGTTTTTGAAATGTGCGTAACTCGATATCCTTCACACACTGCAAAATATTTTTGAAAAATGTATCTGTGAAAACGTACTGAAACAAATACTTCCATAAAGTCATACCTCCTGCTGATATGACAGCATCTGCCCACCGAACTGTCTCTTCATTATATTCTCGACGTTTAACAAGACGAACTTCTATCCTCTCATTCCTATAAAGTGCAGAAAAAGCTTGAATGTGTCCTATATTGTTCCTTGTCCCACCCTTCTGAAAAACTGACATGTAATTAAGGACTAATTACAGCGGTATTTGGCTTACAAGCATTTGACACTCACACAAATCCCTTACACCTTTTCCATTTGTTTTCAAATAGTAACGCAGTGTGTTAACTGAACTGAGCTAGTTCACATTACAATTGTTTCAGGAATGACTGTTCATCTGCATCATCCTGTTTTCAGTATTCCTATTTTATTAGAGCTTCTAACACAAAGTTTCCTTTTGTTGTTTGACACAATCCATGGATATTTACACTGTGTCTGAAATTCTCAACATCCATACATTCTTACCGTAAACTGTCTACAACATGCTCCACATTTTTTGTATGAATGCGATGCCGCTCCAGCAGACCAGCATAGTTAGATCCCTTCAAGGCAAGCTGATAAGACACAAATTGATTTTGTAGAAGTTAATCACTACAGTGAGTGCTCTTGTGCAATACAAACAGAAGCTATAAAAAAGCACATATTTTATTTCAGTAGACACATGTGCTTTTATAAGCATTCCGTTAATTACATCTCTATATACATACCAGTCAGCTTACATTGACTAGTTCAATAAATGAGTTACATGGCCACAGCAGCCAAGAATCACAGGCCTTTTAAGGGCTCTACACAAATACGCAAACAAGTGTGCTACACTGACTTCTATGCCATTGCAGACACGTTGCTTTCCCTGAATCTGCTAATTTAAACTCTAGGTAAATCTACATAAAATAGTTATACTAACTACACTCCTGTCACATGCTAAAAGCACCCAGACAGTTAGCTAATTACCTTAAGAGTTATAAACATTGTGCTACAGAGAAAGAGGACAACAGAAAAAGCAACAGGAATGATAATTAAGAAAACAGGAATCGTTGAAATACCTAGAGCATTAACCTTCAAATAGTATTTGAGCTAAAATGGAAGACTGCCAAGTGCTGACAAAGGTGGCATTTCCCGTGTCAAAAAAAGCTTAAGGACAATCTACCTACTACCTTTGATCCTGTCCTCTGGATTATAGACCAGATTTTTCAAACAAATTCACATCAATAACAAGACAAACAGTATTAGACAGTTGCATTCTAGCATCATTCTTCTTGGAAGCTGGAGAATTTAAATACTTAATCTTGACACACTCTTTAGACCATGAAAACATTTTGCAGTTCATAGAGATGGGCTCTTATGAGCAGGCAGGTGAGACTGCTGGCTGAAGATTAGAATAATTTGCAACAGGTTACTGTGTGAGCAATTCAGTCACCATCTGTATGCATTCATTCTTCACCTCACTTAGTGTGCTCATCTGGGGCTGGTACTGCCACATACGTGTTTGCATGGAGATTAGGCAAACAGAAGAAAGAGGGTGAAAAGGATGTTAAGCCAAAGGAGTTTATAAATACATTCATAATCAAAGTGATCTTGCTTTGAGCAGCAGGCTAGACTAGATGACCTCCTGAGGCTCCTTATAGCCTGAATTATTCTACAATTATACTGTCATTGCTTCCTTTTCCCTCACTGGTTAGAACCCATTTACCAGCACAGAAACAGAACTTCTCCTAGAGTTTGTGTAGAGAAATTCATCTGTGCCAGAAGCTTTGAACAGGCATTTCCAGCAATTTATTCAAGTGCCTTTACTGAAAGTTGCAGACCCTTCCAAGAGAAAGTGGTGCCAGACAGCCACATCTAATCCCATTTCCACAGAGACTCCCACACCACAGAACTCCACACTGAAAGGGGAGAGGACTGGCAGTGTATGACAATTACAGTTAACTGCAATCCAATATGCAACAAAGGCAATCTTTCTTCATCTGACACTTGCTGATGTCAAGAAATCCAACCATGAACTAAGCACAAAGACAGACTCAGCGCTGAAGAAATTACAGAAAAGAATAGAATTGGCTGCTCTGGAACTGCATCACTGTCCTGCTCAGCCTATTTACAATCTGCGATTAACTTGCAGGAATGAAATCTTCAGGTGGTGTTACAGCTGGGACCAGGAAACTGTCTCCAACAGAGGGGCTCCTACGCTTTGCCTGCACGGCACTAACAGCACTACAGGCAGACAGTGGGAGTAGCTGCCAGCTGTGCTTACTCACGCACACAGATAAGCATGTGGGTGATAGAAAACATCCAGACAAAGCTTTCAGGTCATCTTTACAAAGCTTGTTAGCACTGGTTTACTGGGGTACAGGGTGTTATGTCCCATTAATTGCCTCACACACTTAAACCTTTTGTTTCTACTTCCCAGCTACAATGCTTCTGCACTCCTGTACACCTCTTGCTCCTCCAGAGCCCATGGTGTTGCACTGGGAGCTTGAACGCGGCCCACTGTGCTGCTGTGGGGAGTGAAAGAGTATGCAAGACTATGGCCTGTTACAGCACTGCCCATTGCTGGGTCTGCTGTCAGCCTCTCATGATCCATTTGGAGGAGAAAGTGGAAAGAAGAAAAGAAGGTATTCGCCTCCCACAGCCAACATCTGATGCTGAGCACCACAGGTCTAATTTGCTGGAAGAAGGATTTTCAATTGCACGTTTGAAGCACAAAATGACGTTGCTTTACCACCAGAAAGAACAAGAAATCCACAGCAAATAACCTCAAAAAAATCAACTGTGTTACTAAAATCAGGGTTCCCATTCATGCTTCCTGTAGAAATACCTGCTGTGAATGAAACATGAGCACCTGATAAGCAGGCTGCTGCTGCAGCATACATTTTTCAGGCTGCTATTCCCACCGGCTATTACTGCCACACACAACAGAAACTGCAAATGCCATCCTGCAGGACTATACTGCAAAACACAAAACATTTAAACTTAGCGATATTCTTCCAGAAATTGCCAGACCGCAGACTGACTTTCTAGACATGGGCTAGAAAATAAAAACGCTATTCCTACGGAGCTCAGGATCTTCCAACTGAAATACATGTGTCATTTCTTGGTGTTGAAGTTGCAAAAGCCTGCGTGAGGGGCCACACACAGGTCTGGAGGCCCACACTGCATCTGAAGTAATTTCTTCCAGCAGTTATCTGGAAAGATCAGTAAGAGCAAAGGAAACTGAAAAGTACTGACGAACAGAAGTTATCAGCTATGGGTCTACAAACACACAGGAAACATGGCGTTTGCTGAGTCCCTCTTGCTGAGGCTCCTGGAACAGTAAAAAATAAGGGTAGAACGTACAGGAAATGTCATATCAGAGCACAAGGGCAGTCAGCTATGGGTGGCATTAGCAGAAGTACTCAAAAGCAGAAGTATTCATGGAGAATTCATGGAAGAAACAAGTACAACTGTAGACCTATTAATCTGACCTCAATAGCATGCAAGATTGTAAAATAAAATGCAACAATATATATATGAGGGCTATTCTAGCTGAAAGTGCATTACCATATGAAAATAGGGACAAACTGGCTAAAAATACATTCAGGCATAGCTTCAGTAGTGTTCTTAAACCTCACAGCAGGGATGGGATGCAATGCAAATCAGGCTTCCAAAAGAGCGTGCACTGGAAAACACACTCAGGTGAGCAGAACATGTTCTATGATGGAGTTATTTTTCCTTAGGAGCCTGAAGGAAAAAAGGTCTACACCAAATGCCTATAAAAAGCTTTTCTCGTATCTTCTAGCTCAATCCTTTTTTAATGAAAGGATAATTTTTCACAGAAGTCCTTTAACAGTCACTTAGGAAAGGGACATTTGCCTGACTGCCCTCCTTCTGGAGTCGTAGCTCTCACCTCTGGCAAGGTGGTGTCACATTGATGATTGGACTGATGATCTTAAAGATCCTTTGCAACCTTAATGATTCTATCTTAGTTTTTACTTTCATTAGAAAATAATCCAGCCAGCAAGCCAGGAAACTTGAAATTACTATTCTACCCTTAACTGGTTTAGTGGTGGACTTGGTAGTGTTAGGTTAATGGTTGGACTGGATGATCTTAAAGGTCTTTTCTAACCTAAACAATTCTATGATAAAACAGTATGCTCTCTCTAAACAGTACTGTGAATGTTAGCCAGAGTGAAATTGTGAATCTAGCACCTTCTACATCTCGTCCTAGTACACTAACAGGAACTTGTCTGATGCCTTTTGGCTATATATGAATATGTATAAAATACATATTCATATTCTCATTACTAGGCTTATTCTGAATTTAGAGCATTAACCTGCAAGTTGCCTTGAACTCCCACTGCACCTGGGGGTAGTTAATGCCTCGGTGTACCAATCAGTTGTTTTATGCCTGTTGTTCATTTAAGAGTTAAACTAAATGTTTGACTAGAAGAAAAAAACAAAACAAAACAAAACAACCCCAAAATGCATACATCTAGAAACAATTACTCTCTCAAATTTCCACAATGAACTTGCCCACACACGGACCCCAGCACAAAAACAATAACAGATCACTGCTTTCTAATCTACCCAATTTCTACAAAAAGAACTAGCAAACAAATGGATTTAGAGGGAAACAACTAAACACAGACGTTTGAATTTTAAACTGAAAAGGAAAATACTATGACCACTATAGGTATAATCATCTAACCATTTCTAAGCAGGGTACAGCACTACTAAAAGGCCTGTATTTTCAGAAATTGTCTCTCTAAATTAACCACAGTTCCCAAGTAAAGGCAGAATCAGTGCTCTCGTTTTTGTCCTTGGTTTTAAAAGAAACAAGTATCTATTTTGACAGGAAAACTAGTTTTCCAAAAGTGTTAAGTTTTGAACTAGAAACGGCTTTGAATGTAGCACGTGCTTCAAATAATACACTCCTCTTAGCTTCCCTAACAAATAAGGAACACTGACTTAAGGTTTGCTTAAGTATCAAAGACTGGCAATCTATAGTTGTATGCAAGTAATTTTCCTGTGTTTCTAGTGTTAACTACTAGTTAAGTTAAATCTTCATCTGTCATGCTAACAACAAACCCAGTTTTCCTCACAGGTCAGGCAGATGCTGAACTTTGATTTCTTAAGGGCTCCAATCACATATTAATCTTTCCTGTTTTGTAATGTAAAAATAATCTGCATACAAATAAGTTGTATTAAAGCATGATTCAGCTTCTGAATCTTAGATAATGAAGTGCAGAAGACAAAAGAGATAAAAATAAACTGAGCAATTAGCCATGGCAGAACCTGACCAGCAGAAATCTGCACCTTGGAGACACATTTCAAATGCTCCACAGAAAAGGGTCTGCTAGAAGGACAGCCACAGCAACCTTGAACCACAACCCTGAACCTTCAGTGGGTTTTCCAGCACCAGCTGGAACTGATGGGGGAGCTGAATGTAGTGGTTGTATACAACAGATGTCCTGGTTTGGATATGACACCAACTTCCACAGTAGTTAGTATAGGACAGCATGCCTACCCTCAATTTCTTCTAACTAGAAATGAATTATCAAGACAAATACAATTT